AAAAAAGAGAGAGTCCACCTTGGTCGCGCAGATTGGCCAGTTGTGATTAGGCCAACCGTCTTGAATTAAATGCATTTTCCTTTGGCCTCGTGGAGAATGGGGGGGGCATTATGCCACATTTTCTTACGTGGCTGTCATGATTAGCTCATAGTTTTCGATTTGTTGAAGAAAAGAGGGAGAGAAAGATAGGATATATATACTGTATATATATATTTCTTTAAATAGTACGGGGACAGAAATCAAATTATATTTAATATATATTATCTATACATTTTGTTATAGTAAGGATAGCTCTGTGGGTATATGAGACAAAGGCAGTTAGGAGGAAGTGAACGCTTAAAACGCCCGCATGCAACAGTAGATAGATGCAATAGAGAAAGATATACGAAAGAAAAGAGAAAATGAGGACAGAGAGACAGGGAAAAGACATGTTTGGATTGACTGCATGCAAATGGTTGGTCCTGATAATATGACATGTATTCAAAGCAGCTTTCTTGAACGGGCGTGTATTGAAAGGGTGGATGAATGGGCAGAAAAGCGAAATTATATAATGGTATCTTCAAGAGGAGGATCACTTGGTAAAATCAAATTGAAAAGCACGCAAACACAACAACTTTAACGACACTAAACATCAAATTACGTCGCAGACAGATTTTCCACGGGCTGGTGTGAAGCTGACATAATACATAGAATCAAAGGTATATACATGTGTGTTTGTGTGTGGGGATGGGGGTGGGGGGTGCATCTGTGCGTGCGTGTGTGTGTGTGTGTGTGTGTGTGTGTGTGTGTGTGTGTGTGTGTGTGTGTGTGTGTGTGTGTGTGTGTGTGTGTGTAAATATTTACTAATATATATGTATATACATATATATATATATATATATATATATATATATATATATATATATATTTATATATATATCTTTCTTTATATATACATACAAACATATATATATATATATATATTTTTTTTCTTTTTTTTTTTTTTTTTTTTTTTTTTTTTTTTTTTTTTTTTTTTTTTTTTTTTTTTTTTTTTTTTTTTTTTTTTTTTTTTTTTTTTTTTTTTTTTTTTTTTTTTTTTTTTTTTTTTTTTTTTTTTTTTTTTTTTTTTTTTTTTTTTTTTTTTTTTTTTTTTTTTTTTTTTTTTTTTTTTTTTTTTTTTTTTTTTTTTTTTTTTTTTTTTTTTTTTTTTTTTTTTTTTTTTTTTTTTTTTTTTTTTTTTTTTTTTTTTTTTTTTTTTTTTTTTTTTTTTTTTTTTTTTTTTTTTTTTTTTTTTTTTTTTTTTTTTTTTTTTTTTTTTTTTTTTTTTTTTTTTTTTTTTTTTTTTTTTTTTTTTTTTTTTTTTTTTTTTTTTTTTTTTTTTTTTTTTTTTTTTTTTTTTTTTTTTTTTTTTTTTTTTTTTTTTTTTTTTTTTTTTTTTTTTTTTTTTTTTTTTTTTTTTTTTTTTTTTTTTTTTTTTTTTTTTTTTTTTTTTTTTTTTTTTTTTTTTTTTTTTTTTTTTTTTTTTTTTTTTTTTTTTTTTTTTTTTTTTTTTTTTTTTTTTTTTTTTTTTTTTTTTTTTTTTTTTTTTTTTTTTTTTTTTTTTTTTTTTTTTTTTTTTTTTTTTTTTTTTTTTTTTTTTTTTTTTTTTTTTTTTTTTTTTTTTTTTTTTTTTTTTTTTTTTTTTTTTTTTTTTTTTTTTTTTTTTTTTTTTTTTTTTTTTTTTTTTTTTTTTTTTTTTTTTTTTTTTTTTTTTTTTTTTTTTTTTTTTTTTTTTTTTTTTTTTTTTTTTTTTTTTTTTTTTTTTTTTTTTTTTTTTTTTTTTTTTTTTTTTTTTTTTTTTTTTTTTTTTTTTTTTTTTTTTTTTTTTTTTTTTTTTTTTTTTTTTTTTTTTTTTTTTTTTTTTTTTTTTTTTTTTTTTTTTTTTTTTTTTTTTTTTTTTTTTTTTTTTTTTTTTTTTTTTTTTTTTTTTTTTTTTTTTTTTTTTTTTTTTTTTTTTTTTTTTTTTTTTTTTTTTTTTTTTTTTTTTTTTTTTTTTTTTTTTTTTTTTTTTTTTTTTTTTTTTTTTTTTTTTTTTTTTTTTTTTTTTTTTTTTTTTTTTTTTTTTTTTTTTTTTTTTTTTTTTTTTTTTTTTTTTTTTTTTTTTTTTTTTTTTTTTTTTTTTTTTTTTTTTTTTTTTTTTTTTTTTTTTTTTTTTTTTTTTTTTTTTTTTTTTTTTTTTTTTTTTTTTTTTTTTTTTTTTTTTTTTTTTTTTTTTTTTTTTTTTTTTTTTTTTTTTTTTTTTTTTTTTTTTTTTTTTTTTTTTTTTTTTTTTTTTTTTTTTTTTTTTTTTTTTTTTTTTTTTTTTTTTTTTTTTTTTTTTTTTTTTTTTTTTTTTTTTTTTTTTTTTTTTTTTTTTTTTTTTTTTTTTTTTTTTTTTTTTTTTTTTTTTTTTTTTTTTTTTTTTTTTTTTTTTTTTTTTTTTTTTTTTTTTTTTTTTTTTTTTTTTTTTTTTTTTTTTTTTTTTTTTTTTTTTTTTTTTTTTTTTTTTTTTTTTTTTTTTTTTTTTTTTTTTTTTTTTTTTTTTTTTTTTTTTTTTTTTTTTTTTTTTTTTTTTTTTTTTTTTTTTTTTTTTTTTTTTTTTTTTTTTTTTTTTTTTTTTTTTTTTTTTTTTTTTTTTTTTTTTTTTTTTTTTTTTTTTTTTTTTTTTTTTTTTTTTTTTTTTTTTTTTTTTTTTTTTTTTTTTTTTTTTTTTTTTTTTTTTTTTTTTTTTTTTTTTTTTTTTTTTTTTTTTTTTTTTTTTTTTTTTTTTTTTTTTTTTTTTTTTTTTTTTTTTTTTTTTTTTTTTTTTTTTTTTTTTTTTTTTTTTTTTTTTTTTTTTTTTTTTTTTTTTTTTTTTTTTTTTTTTTTTTTTTTTTTTTTTTTTTTTTTTTTTTTTTTTTTTTTTTTTTTTTTTTTTTTTTTTTTTTTTTTTTTTTTTTTTTTTTTTTTTTTTTTTTTTTTTTTTTTTTTTTTTTTTTTTTTTTTTTTTTTTTTTTTTTTTTTTTTTTTTAGACTCATAACCTCACTACATAATATCTAAATTTGATGCTTCGCTTCCGGACCGACAGCCTGCCCATGCACAGCCCCACACCAGCCGACGACACTGGTCACTTTTGCCGACAATAATCATACAAAATTAGATCTGTGTTTCATGTAACGCTAAAATAGGACACTGACTTTCTCGATAAAGATTACTATGGTATAGATATTCTTTGGAGCTCTTAATATCTAAGAGATGCGTTTAAGAGGATAAGGAGTAATAATGAGATGTAGTGATGGCTATGTACACAATAAAAACTCGAGACTTATCCAAATACCTCTTCAGCGACAACAAGAGAGGTCCCCCGGCACAAGGCATCGCATAAAAAGAGAAAGAAAGAAAGAGAAATAGACAAGAACAGGCGCAGTTGTTTCCATTCCTTGACACATTGACAAAGGGATAAATATATAAGTCCACCATGAAGAAGAAGAAAAAAAAACGGAATAGAAAACGGCATTAAAAGGGTGAAGGGGCTCTTGTTCTGGCGTGTTCTTAGGAATATAAAAGTAGAAGAAAAAGAAGATGAAGAAACAAAAATAGAGATGAAGGAGAAACTAAACAAATAAAGATGAAGGAGAAACTTGAATAAGGCGAAGGTAAAATAGGACTCCACGCAAATAAGTTGAAGTTGGGAAATTTATTCCATGTAGGAATGCGAGTGGAGGTAACTTCTCTTGAACTAACTTTTTATTTGCGCTTTGCTAGGCCAATTATCCCGCATGTTGTTTTAAATAATAGATAGATAGAAAGATATAATGATAGATTGATCGGTAGATGGAAGGACAGATAGATCAATAAAAATTGACGATCTTCCCGTTTCGAATGAAACCCCATCTCTGAATAAGTGATAATTCCCCCTTTGCCAAAACAGAACGAGTATTTTTTTTTATTTATTGTTACTATTTTTTATTTATTTATTTATTTTTTTGCATAAACCAGTTACGTTTTCACTCGCAAAATTCTAATTCTTCATTTTCTTTCCGCGATTCGCTTTTGTTTACGACGAACGCCGCCATTTTGTTTTCGATGATTCGCGGTTGAAATAGTGCTGGAGTTTTACAGAAAGAAAATTAGAAAATAAGGAAAGTTTTGAATGAAAAAAAAAGTGAAAAAAGAACCCAAAAAAAGAGGAAGAAAGCAGCGAAAGAGAGAGAAAATGTTAGAGAATAAAAGAGTTGCAAGAAGTGGGGAAAGAAAGAAAGAAAAGAACGTGGGATGTATTTAAACTTTAATGGATTGGAAACAACTTCTTTTTAGAGTTTTAGCGAAATTTCTTGGCCGCTAAAAATAGTAGCATAATGCGCAAGGGACGAAGAGTCAAATATCTAATGATGGAGATACGGAACACACGAGAGGTTGAAAATTAAGACTAAAATAGTAGTAGTGAAGATATTAGGAATAATAATAAGGATGATAATAGTAATGATAACGTTGAAGTAATGATAGTAATAATAATAATAATGATAACGATAACGATATAAGGATTGGGAAGAAGAGGGAAGAGTTATAAATAACTAAGAAATGTGTAAGAAGGGAAAATTGAAAAAGAGACAAAAAACGTACACGCCAGGAACAAACAATAAAGGCGAGAATAATAAGAGAGAGAGAAAAAAAAAATCCTTTGTCCTGTGCCCCCCCGCAGAAATCCCCCCAAATCCCCCCCCCCCCTCTGTGCCAGGATCACGCAGCCGCAAGCATTACAAAGCACGCAATTGCACGCAGCTGTTCCGTGGTCGCGCCCTCCCCCCCGTAGCGCCAAACGTCACTCCAGGCGACGTAAGGGAGACGGCGAGGGCTACGGCGCGGCTCCTCCCACGCCTCCAGCCCCACACCAGGCGGGTACCGGAGGCCGTGGGCGTCAGCGCTGCGCAACCACGCCCGTGCCATGACGAAGCCTCCCCTCCCACCCCTACTTGGTGCCCCAACCCACGCCCGCCCGCGCCCGCATGCCTCTAGTGCCGATCAGAAGGTGATGTATGGCGGAAGAAAATAACTCCGGAAAATTGAAGAAACGCATTGACCGAAACGCATTTTTTTCCCCCATTATCGAAACGATTTTCCTTTTTGGAGCTTGTGGATACGAGAGACCCCCCAAAAAAACAAACAATATTTATACAAACAATATATATTTCATGTATATATCCGAGTTTTAAAAGTGAGTTTATGACTAGCGGTATTCACTATATGGTCATTATAAATGGAGGATAATATAACTGCATATGTTGACTGACTGTCCCCGGTGCAACAGCTGTTACACCTACATGAATATCGAGTACATTATTATCATCATTTAGTTTACTTTTTAAAATCTTAGCGTCCGTCATATGCGGGCTTCCACGATGGACAAAGCTAAACACACACACAGATTAGCTACATAGCGCTTATTCACAAATATTACTCACTCAGGATACTATCTCATCAACATCATTAATATGTACAACTTTTTTAAAGCTATTAACAAGTTTGAACGTCACAATAATGTTTTATTTTTTCTCCAAATGTACATGGCCATATTCCAGGACTGGCCTCAGTACTAGTTATGCTGAAAACATACATTATTTTAAGATATATATGTATATACAGTACACACAAATACACCTTGATGTGTAAGTGATCATTACGTAACTTACAGGAAAGTGTATTTGATGAAACACCGAAGAGATGTTTTTTTTTCTTATTTTTTTTTGTGCAGTTACATTCTGTACGTTATTATTATTATTATATATTTTCATTCGCATTCCCTTGAGAGTCAAAGAAACGAACTGAACAACGTGGCTATCTATTCAGGCCTGGATTAGGTGAACAATAATAAATAATAAAATAATGATCCGAAACTATGCTACACCAACCTTGTGAGCAAAGACCTACATTGGCCAAGTGCAGGGCATCATCACCCACGGTTTTCTTTGGAAACTAAACCCACCTAGTTTACCTTGACTATGTCTCTTCGTGCCATGCTAACACCCATGGCTAACAGTCTTAAGGTTAGTTTTACTACTAGCTCGGATACTAGTGCAGGTGACTAGTACCGCATCATTGAGATCAATAAGTATGACCTCCTGCGTATGTGTAATACGACAATCACGTCATTCCTAAATGCAATTAAAAATATTCTTTCCCACGTTTTTCTTTCGTTATCATTATTGTTTCTTT